CACACCACAGCTCCCTTGGGAGAGTGACGGGTCACTCTCATGTAACCCCGTTACAATTTGTTTATTGACCCACAGTGATTAAACCCAGTGCACTGCGTAGCGCGAGGTTAGCAGCTTACGTGTAACCCAATAATCTTCCTCTCAAAGCAAAGTTGCTCCCCCTTTCTCATCATTCGTAATGATCAAGATAACAGCTTATGATGCTATACTTTGGTTCTTTTGAGCTTGTCTCGTATTACAACGAATAGTAGTGACAGTAGTGCAGGATACAAGTACACCATAATACTATCCATACCTCGACAAGCTTACTGATTTCTTTCAAGTCGGAATTGTGTAAGTCCCGGCGCTGTAAGATTACGCAAAAGTACACTTGTCATAATCATTTTGCAAAAATAGCTTACCGCGACTTGATACACCACAGTATACATCAGATGACATGTACTCACTGAACAATGGTGTATGCATACGCTACTGTTGTCGGTTTCGTTGTTTGTACCTAGAGCCAAGCTCGAGAAACGAAATGAAAGTACCGTAATGAGGGTTATTATTACGGATGGCGAAGGCGATGCTCTGGAAAGGTAACGTCCTCAGGACACGTGATCGACAAGCTCCTCGCCCGGAAACGTCGAGCTCTAGCAGGTTGTCCTGCGCCTGCTATGAAAGACCTGGGACTCATAAAGGTCAGCGTCCGTCAGACTAAACTTCATTTTTATAAGATTGGTGGATCCCAATCCCCAATGCAACTACCGCTACATTTTGCAAGTTAACACTCTATTCTTGGAATGCCTCATTTCAATGTACTAACCCAAAAGCTCAATCTTCCGCTTTATCTTTTAGCGTGAAATTTGCTTTCACAAAAAACAGATACTTCGTCTCTTACATGGCTGGATTCATGGCCATTTTAACTTCTATCAGAGATAAACAAGCATCCCTGTGGTTACTTCCAAAGTACCAAATACATAACATAAGAAGCCATAAGGTGGTTGCCGGACACGCTTGGTAGAAGAAATCCTGCCAATGCCTCATCAGCGCATTCTTATTGCTGGTGAGCGTCTTCATACGATTAATTATGATTCCAGATCTCTTGCCCCCAAAATGCTATTTCATCGGTCCCATCAAAGGTAAAATCATATTGAGCATGCCCGGTTGTCCCAAATTTGAATAGTGAACATAACTTGCTCCGTTCTATGTGGCGTACTTTAACATAGAAATTGGGCGTTGATATGATGCGGTAGCGTTTACCTCGCATAGTAACTCTACAAGCTGCGTTTATAATTGCACAGCGATTAGGTGCATAATTCCATCCGGAAGCGAGATCAGAGCCTCTCAAATTATATTTCTCGTTGTTCCCTTTAATCTTAAGCGACGAGACTTTGGAATTTTGTCTGTTGTGGATTGATGCTAGTGTATCTGTTCAAAGTTCAATATTAAAACCATATGAAATGCTTAGCACGAGGCTAAGATCGACCTGGGTGAATTTTCGTCATCGTCACACCTTTAACTCTATAGAAAAGCAAACAAACAGGTTGTATGCGTTTGGCATTAAATCAACGCGACGCGCAGTGCTTCCTCGAAAAAGACAGACATTTGCTAAGAGTTTGGTTCTATTTGCAAATTTAAATTACTCAGCTGAAGATGGTATAAACATCACAAATATTATCTGCTGCATTCCGACAACGAAACTGGACAGTCGACCTTTTACTTATGATGCGGTTTGGGCAGTCGACTCATTACGTATAATGCGGTACTGTCAAACATAATAGACAGTATGCTGCGGTATCAAGCGTGTCATATACGAATTCAATATTCGTGCATCGAGTTATGAGTATCCTTGCTTAAGTGTTGAGGATGCTGTAACCCCCCTGAAAAGTCTGAATCCATGCACATTGACTCGTCCTGCACCAATGCAATAAATTCAATCGCATTCTGTGTCTTGAACGCCATGAGCTAGTGCCCTGCGCTTCTTTCTCACGGATGCTTTAGTTGATCGTGAATTTTACTCCGTGTGGAAGAGAAACGTTTTAACACGGGTATAACTGTGATTGTGATAGCATCGGCGCCTGTCATGGGATTGCCCAACTCTGATAAACAATATTGCAATCACAAATATAATACTCAAAAGACCGAAACAGTAGAGCGTTGCGATATCGATATAAGTCGGGAAGTAGCGTTCCCATGTTGCGGTTCCTAGAGTGGATATATGCTATGTCGCTGTCATTAGAATGTAGAGACAGTTGGTCATCGCTGTAAGCTGCAAGATAATGGGCGAGATAAATTTCTGGCAATTATGTGTCTTGGACGCCAGGGTTTGATCCCATGGTGGTACGTCAGAGCTTGACGCCACGATCTCCTAAAAAGGCCCGGTGGTGACAAGGAACTTTGAGTCGCAAGAAGAAAAAACCAAGCTAAGGAGTTATCAGTGATATCCGTCGCTGTCACGATGTGACGTACTACCTAGTCAGAACTTCTCTGGGATGCGCTCTCCGTGACCCGTGGCTGGATACCGAAGTAATGTTCTAGGCAGTGAAGTTTGTTCTAGCGTAATCTCTCACAGAGCGTAGTAAGTTTTATTCGGGACATGATGGCAAAGAGGTTCAAGACGATAAAGTCATCAAATAAGTTCGGTTAGCATACAAAGGCTGCAAAATTTATCCTCCATTAATAAATCTTCTTTATGACAGACGTAGGGCACGAAGTGCGAGTGACGGGGCGGCTTACCCAAAGTCATATGCTGAGAAAATGTCCCAACGCGGTGATTACAGACCCTTCAGATATGTTGGTTCCAGTTCGGAGAGTGCGTCATGGCTCCCAGAAACCAGTACAGAGTCACTCGACAACCATTAAAGAACATTTAAACCCGTTCCGTAGACAGAATGTGCTGCAGAACAGGCCGGTCACACTTTAATCTCTGCTCATGGCATAATACGTTGAATTTTACTGATGAAAAAGAGCAAAATCCTGCTTACTGTGATGAACACTTCGAGTGGGATGTTCTGGGGGTGGCTGATTCTTTCGCAGGAACTGTAAGCTTCAATATTGTAGCTATCGCGCTGATGTGCATGCCTATTCCGACTCTACTTCCGTTCATTGCCGTGCAGCGAACGGAGCGTTAGACGTTACTGTCAGTGCTCGAATGCTAGCGCTTCAATAAACAGTTTGTCAAGAATGGCAAGTTGCCGACGAAATACAGCATAGTCGCTGGGCAGTCCCGCAGCGATGAAATTATCACGGATTTGCTGTCCAAAAAAGATTGGACGAGGTGGCTCGGCTCGGCAACATTCTCACGCAAGTACAGTGCAAATTTTTGGCAGCGGCAAGGCCACTTAATTATCTGCTAAAACTTATGTTATAATGGTTTGATGCGCCTCAATTCGGTGGTCTTAAAAGGTGTAAAACGATGACATATATGTGTCATGAATCTGGCACTTGTCAGTTTGGAAAGACCATTCTATGTCTCTTTTAACGCAGCTTTTACCATAAAGTATGCTTTACTCCGGTTTAATGTCTTGCTTGGATGGAATTTCCGTTGCTCCGTTGGCGCACAACTTTGCTGACTTTAGATTCTGACACCCGCACGACAAAGAAGAATCTCTCAAGGCAACGCGCTTCTATCAAACATAAAACTAGGCCATGCCTTTTTCGCTGGTGACGGAGGCCTGGCCTCGCTCTAAACCTTATACTTGTCGGGTCGCTGTACCAGCAGGCTCACGAAGACGAGTATGGCTGCTCACAGCAAGAACAGAAGCTGATGAGCATCCCTTTGGCGTTAATGTTGTGCTTTGTATGCTGCGATTTTAAGCATTAAAGACCTCGAATTTATCGCTGAAGCTGACTTGTAATTTGGTGAGCTTGTGAGATGACATTTCTTTTTCTTTCACTGCGCGAGGTGGGTAAGCTATCATTCGGCACTTTATCGGCTTTTAGCACCAGAGGTACGGCCGTCGTGAAGCGTACGAATCTAATCAACCGCTGCTGCATTATGCACAAACGGTATCCCCGAGAACACTGTGACCCGAGGGATAAAATCGCCCTCGGAACGAATTTTAGCGCTGGAATTGCTGTGGATTGAGCAGAAGGCTCATACACATAGTCGTGTAAGGATTTTGCTGTGGAGCGACAGGGTACTTCAGATTGGCTACATCAATAATAAGGACGTGAATGAGTTGCGCTATGGCAATTTCACTTGGTCAAGTCCAGATCATTAGTACTGATCGGATCGTCGTTGTAAGTTCTTACGGTGACTCATCGAAATACTCCTGCCGAAGGGAGCGAACACTAAGTGTGCAACGTGTACACGAGAGAGTGACGAGTTGTAGAGAATACTTTATCCTTGAAGGACATTTTTGCCGTTTGTCTCATTGAGACGGGTCGGATCTCGAAGAGTCACTGCGACCGTTATTATCGGCGTTTATAAAAGCGAATTAGTAGACTCAAAGCTGCATCCATGCGAGGTGCACGGCAGTTTCGTTGCAGGATCACTTGACGAATTGAATAGAACCCGTACCGAATTTGCATAGAGTGATTTTCATGTTGTATGGAGTCGTTATTTTTGATTTACTTTAAACATAAAGTCCGGGCTTATTCAGCCCTATTTATAAGAACATCACATTCAAACTGACAGTCTTCAGTAATGGTGATGACGACGACGTTGCAAATATTGACTTTAAAACATGCTGTGCTCTAAATTTGGTAGTTCATGGCTGCTAATCTAGGCTAAATGACGCTGAAGTAGCTAGTGATTTGAACAAACGCAGCGGAGGATCGTGCTTATAAATTTGTATATGTAGCATTACTTTTGTGACAGTCGAGACCTGCTGAATCCGAAAAGTGGAGCGAGCTAGAACGGCGAGCAACACGCTCTGAGACCAGACACGCACTATCCGTCCGCAATGCGGGTGGCGCTTTTGTATAGATAAACTCTGAAGCAAAAAACACGGCATTATCCCGCAATGCAGAAGACTTGCAGAGATAGTTGCAGCTATCAATCACAATCTAAGGGACTATTAAGTTTTACGGGACATTTAATTCGGTATTCATTAAATTGCACATATCCAATGACTGTCGAAAGCTTGTCACCACCTAAAGATGACCCTCGCGAAGTAATCGTCGATGATTCGGTGACAAATCTCTGGACTAAACTTACCGCGTCAACTTTCGAAATCGGATTGCTTGTCGGCCAAATAAGCCTTTCGAATGCTGGAGATTTTGTGTTAGCTGCGGTGCCAGTTCCGTCAGAAAGTGAAGGTGGCGAGCCTCCAAATAGTCTTGGCGACGTGTCGGTTGATTGGGTCCAAGAAATTGCACAGCACGTAAATTGTCTGCTTCCCGGAGGCATCAGGGTGGTAGGGATCTATGTGGTTTCTGTCTTGGACATTTCAAAGCAAGCGGTGCAATATCTCCGCGCTATAGCGGAAGCAGTTGCATTGTCTTTCAATATTCCTGCTTGTGACAACGTCCACTACTTGGCACACGTGTCTCTAGATGACAATTTTTGTATCCATAGCGTCTACAGCGTGGAAGACGTCCAGAAAACACAGTTGAAACCGGCAAAACTAAAAAAATCGCCCGGACATTTGAGATTTGAACAATATCGAACGCTGGTCGAAGTCGACGAGCCAATATCATTTACCTCAAATGCATCAAGGACTGCAATAAAAGTACCCAACAATCGTATTGACGAGGTAGAAGAACAATTAGAAATACTCTTTCGTCGAGTCGCGGATTCTATTGCCGTGCACAAATTGACTGATGATGCGAATATACATTACATGAATTTGCTGACACTGAAATCATCGAATCCTCAAAAAGACCTCAAGAATGTACGTTTGACACTGTAGTCGAATCGTAAAGACAAGTTGTTCTAATTATCTTTTGCTTTGCGACGATAGCCACTTGGCAGCATTCGTGGTACTGTTAGCTGTGTCGCGTTCGTATTACAAAGCGAGTCCAAGCCAAGTGAAGTGGCAGCAGTCTACTTAAAGCGAGACTTTGTGAAGTCGCTGTCTATGCGTGTTGCCTTAGCTCGTGAAAGCTTAAACGAGGATGATGATGGTAAAAGTTTATTCTTGAAAGCTTACTCTTACCTAGACATAAAAAATAACAAAAGCTTGTTTGTGAGTAGCTGGGAGGATCTCCATTTTTGAGAAAGGTGGAGTCATTCGACTTGCTCAGCGTGGCCTAGTTCCATGGCCTTTGAAGCCGTATTTTATGGCGACGGTCCACGTATTGTCTGATGAAAATGCCGCAAAGGCGACAGAAAACGCGCTTGAGATTCTCGGTGGTGTCCGAAATGGCGATGCCCGAAATGGCGATGCTTGTGCTTGGGTCGCACTAGAAACCTCTGGTCAGCTTCGCTCTTCCCAAGATTTGACACTCAGCAAGAACTCAGAACAATCTAATTTCGTTTACTTCATGCTGCCACTAATTCTCGTGCTGCTGCTTATCGCATATCAACATTTAGCTTGAGACAAAATATCTAGAATATCGTTAATGTAGGCAACCTTACTCTTACTTATATCGACTTCCATAGTCACATCCCATTGCGGTTAATGCTTTCTCGACATGACTCAATATTGCAGGCCTCGATGCTACGTACATGTTTATCGTCTGCACACTTCTTGTTCCTCGACCTTTTATTTATGATGTTTCATGATTGCCTTACAAGAAAAAGTAAAAAAACGCTTTGGATGTCGGTATTCCAAATATTTCCAACCGTGTCACTACCACATCGAAGGCGATTGGCAAAATTTAAGGTGATGACTTTATGAAAATTGCGCAGAATGGGCCGAATTGTAATTATTCTGATAGAATCAATCGGATCTTTTTTCATCGTTTTTTGTTAAACGGCGTGAAAACTTTGGCTCTATATTAATTGCACAAAGGCTGAATTTATTAGGGCCGCAACCGCTACTAAATAAATATCTGAGTATATTTTTTATTAGATGCTTAGATTTTCATGCAAAATACATGCATTTTACTATCTCTCATAATAAAGGTATGTACTGTAATTTTGTGAACATATTAAACTATTGTAATTAAGATAACTCTGGACAATTGTACGAAATTCACATTGCGCAGTGAAGATTTATAATTAACTAAGTGTCAGTATTTATAAAGATGTCGAAGGGGGTTCGTGGCATACGTGGGCTGTTAGCCTCGCGCCAAAACGAAAAACACTTTCTTTATAAACGATGACAGTACGTGTATATTTAGTGTCGGAACAAATAGCACTAATTCTGAATACTTGTGCACTCGACATAGTGGAGCTCATCATCTATTTACGGGAAGGGCTCTCCAATTCGCTTCTAGTAGGAGCACACATATACGATTTCTGTGCTTGTGTTAACGCGAACTCTTATATTCAAAGCTTTTTTGAGTGAAAAATCACGGACACCTGTTGCACTTGGGATCACTCCCACGACAACTATCTGAAAGGACATATCATCTGTGAGGGTGGTACATGAATATCAGATTTCCTGTATCTTCGACAACCAGGCATGCATGGTAAGCTTATATTTACTGTTGATTTTGAGGCAGTGGAGGAAATGGCGGCCAAACCGCTGTATGCGGCAATTGCTCGCCTGAAGGGGTTCATACGCGATGCGAATGCACTAATAGACACCTCCAAGAGCGATTGCACCAAAATCTGATGGGGGTATATCATCCTTGGCCGCTGGTGTTGAGCTTTCCCGTACTAAAAGGCCAGGACAGAGAAGAAAACTTTCATTTATACTATCAAGGTTAATTTGGCCATGAATTTGGTCAAGCCTCAAACGAAGCGGCAGAGCATTGCCTTACGATCTTCCAGCTAAGGATCCAAGAGCAAGAATGAGAGCTCACATGCAATGAAGACGTGCCGAACGTGGAAGAATTTAAAGCGACGGATGTCGCTAGTTTTAGTACCACCTGACCAGGCATACCGAATGCCCCTAGTTTTTTGTCCCCTAATCAAGGTAAGAGGGAGCTGGTGGATTATGTCGAGATGGGAAGAACGTTTTTTTACCGCAAAGGTATAAGACCCCTTCTCGACGGACGTAGTTCCCATCTTAAAATGGAGGATCTTCAGATGGGTGTCACACCAAGACCTTCCACGTCGATCCTGCCGCTATAACGCGCCGCATTTTGGGGTACTGCAAATGGAAGTTAACAAGCGTGTCAGAGCCTTCGAGCGTCATCTATCTTGAGATGGACAAAAAGAGATTATCTTACTAATAGGCATCTTCATGTTACCCACAAAAGTTTGATTTGTGGTAATACACAACATTCGCGTCTTGTCCATCCCCTTCGCCCACGGCTGAGGGATACGAAGAGACGAGCCCCTACTGATGAGCGTTTGACATATTTTATGCCGGAAATGACTGAGTCTCAGTTAATGCAGGACGAGTTATAGGCAAATATTGGTGACGTGACTGAAAAGTGACGAGCCAAAGGTCGACTGAAAGTCGAAAACATCAGGTGCCACGCACTTTTTGACTGAAATTACTTTGACACGTCCTGTAAAAACCTCAATAAAAAGCAAAAGCTCTTCTGGCACGGGCAAGCCATGCAAAAGCTTCTGCGCAAGGCATGGGATTGTGAGAAATTGATAGCATGATATTGCTAGGCCCCCCGAGCAGAGTTCGGAAGACAGAAGCGTCAGTGTGTCGCGGTAAAGTATGCGTCTCTCTGCCGAGACGAAACAATTTTAATGCTTGTCGTGGTATCCAAAATTTACTCAGATGAGAAAACAAGGATTAGTTGTGAGGTGTTTTTCCTTAAAAGTCCGTGAAGAGCGAAATTTTTTGAGTGTTGCAGCCTCCCGCGCCAGAGCCGAAAGGGTTAAATGTCGACTATATGTCGCGATTAATGGTTTAAGCCTTGAAGATAAGAAGTAAATTATATCCTTGTCACGATGTGACGGTAGCAACATCGTGTGTCGGGCGTACCCTTGGAACAAGTGGAGCATCACCGGTGAGTGGCGCGAAATATTATCCACTCTTGAATGAAGTGCCTGCAGATTTCCTTGTTCTTGCAAGTCTCCTGACACGACTTTTAATGACCTGAGAATATTTTTTGTGGATATGTAAAATAAATTGAGAAACAGCGAGGCTACCAAAATGGACGAATAGTCCCGGAGACGACGCTGAACTCGCCATTCGTCATCATCTGACATTGAGATCACTCGCAGCACACTGAATGCGACGAGCGGAGCAGCAATCTCCAAGAATTTTACAAACTTGTTATCCCCATATTTGAATCCACATTGCGAAGTGGTAAAAACGAAGCACCCCTTCTATTATCCCCGGGTAAGGGAGTCCGTCACAATTTTATCATGGGGCGTGGAACAAACATAGTCGTTTGGTGAAAAAGACCTTTTCCCAATGGTCGCCGACATTCTGTGTCAGAACAGCAATCGGCAAATGAGAAATTGTGCGTGCATAAATTTGGCAAAATGCGCTCACAAATTTTGCGCAAAGTCCGATAATATGGGATGATGTGCTGCTGAACATAATGTTTGATCACAATCTGTGCCCTAGACCTAGTAGACCAATGTTATCATTTGTTGATGTGATACAGTGATCTTCCATCTCATTGCGGTAAGCCGATCGGTAATTATGCAACATGAGATGTTTAAAGCAATAGCAACTTTCAGTTATCTGATAACGTAGCTACTCGAACCACATCATGACCATGTACAATCCTATTTTGCAATCATTAGTGATGTAGACAGCTTGAAGTCATGCGGAAAGCCACATTAAGCACTTATGAGCTGTGACCGAATATGTGCGCTTCAATAAGCAATTCCCCTATTCAGACGAAGGTGTTTTTTGCGCTCTCAATATTTCTAATCAGGTTTAAGAGAAGAGAAGAAAAGCATCACCGGGAAGCGTTGCCTCTGGGCAGATCAAGATAGGAAAATGACCACCGAAGATTGTCCAGTGCCTATGTCCCGAAAGGACTCGACGAAGTTGACCTTTCGAGCTATTTGGCCAAGTATAGCGCATACTGAACCGACATGGCGCATCCTCTTACAAATCTCCCCAAATAAATGTCAACTAATGTTTGCGTGCGACGGAAGAGGAAGCCTTCATGGTTGTGAAAACCCTCCTCGTGCATGTTTCAATTTTAGCTTGTTAAATCGATTTTGTTCACTTCATCTGAGACGCTTCAGCCGCTGCGTTAGGTTGTGTTCATTCCAAGATGAGGTCTATGGGCATCAACGCGTTATTGCGTTTAAACAGCTGAATTAAAGCAATTGAGAAGAACAAATCTATCCACGCTAAAGTCCTACTTGCAAAGAATATGTCTCTGTCATATCTGACCCGCTAGTGAGAAACACAAACCAAACATCGCAGCACACAGAGAAGTTGTCACCACAGAACACTTTGTGCACATTTGTCCATCTTTGCTGGGTTTACCTATCAGATCAAGTATAAGCTGAGACTGTCAATGTGATAGCGAATGCGCTTTCAAATCACCCCATATATCGTCGCTTGTCTTACTGGTGACGTCATCGATTGATGAGATGATATTTACATCGTACGTGTCAGTTGC